CAGCAACTGTATCCAAAGCCAAAGAACGATCATCCTCCGTTGGTATCAGTTTCACGTCACCACCAACAATTTTAGATATAGAAACGAGAATTTCCTGGAATTTATTCAAATTATCAAAAACACAAAGAAAAAACCTGAGGAATTGGAGTGGTGTTGTCAGTAGAAATTATTTGACCTTCAATAACCGAGGTATTATTACGAAGCATTTCGTTCTGGATAACCAAATTGTCTTCTTCAGTTTTGTTCCAAGAAACTAAGCTGGCTGGCATTTTTGTTTGAAGTGATTTAGTTTTGTAAGTAATTAAGTAATTGTTCTGAAATTTAAAAAATAAAAAAATTAATACAAAAAATGTTACAAGTCAAAAACTAAAATAAAAACATATGCGTATGTTCATCAACAAAAAATCGATTTCACAGGCACGCCCTAGAAAGGTTTAGTGACATTTGCGCAGAGCGACATTTGCGCAGCACCAATTGCACAGTTATCATTAAAAACAAGACAACTGCAATCGGACCTCACTATAGTTTCTTAAGGGGTGGGTTCGTGAACTTAAAAGAGGTCCGGGAACTAAAAAAAGGTGACCATCAACAGAAAAATAAATGAAAAATCAATTTTTTGAGAACACAGCTAGCCAGCTACTTTTAGCCGTTTCAGTACTGATAAATTAAAAAATGAATGTTTTATCGTCTTTCTCTTTTCCTCTGCTTTATGGCTCCCCGACTTTTCGTCAACGGACTTTCCGTCGATGGACTTTCCGTCAATACTTTTCGTCAATGGACGGACTTTTCATCAACGCTTTTAAAAAATTTAGGAAATTAATCGGTCTGTTCAAAGCCACAAATAACTAAATGTGCCCAATTTTGTATTTTCTTATTTCTTCAAATACTCTCGAATAACCATGTATATGTTTTGATGGAGGACATGCAAAGACACATGGCAAAGCAAAAGAAGTTACCATATTATGCACATTAGATAAAAAAACAAACAACGTAAACCCATGGGGCATCGGCAAGACGTTTTGCGACACGCGCCTCGCAGGGAGTCAACGGTCGTTGGGTTCTGGGCTGTAACATAAACCTATTCCTTTTTACCGATTTTCAGCCTTGAAAAGCCTACCCATCGTTCGTAGCAACATAAAAATAAGTTTGCCCAACGAAAATTCAGTTGCACAATTTGTGTCCAGAATTTTCAAATCCGTCTAATTTTCAATCTGACACGATTTAACCAAAAATTTTACACTTTTATATACATGTATAATCTTCTCTTTCTCTTAAAATTAAAAAAACATCCATTCATTGGTAATCTTGTGCTTTACTGGTCCCTAGAAAAATCTAAGGAAAAGTGTTAGTTCGACATTTTTGAGGTATGCCAGTAGGTAATCGATCTTGCTTAGTCCGAATCTGAGCTTAGAATTTGTTTATTTCGAACCCCGGACCCGAATTCGACCATGTCAAACATGGGGTAAAAATTCGAAATTTCAAATTTTATGTTTAATCTGACTAGTCCCTTCGAGCTGAGTTGATTGGTATCAGAATTATTACGTTTCGACATCTTTAGACTAAGTTATGGTGTCTGATTAGTATACTGAGGTCTAACCAAGCGTGTATTTAATTGATCATAACTTAGGCTAAAGTGTTTGACATGGTCGAATTCAGGTCCAGGATTCGAAATAAACAAATTCTAAGCCCATATTCGGACTCAGCAGACTCGATTACATACTGGCAGACCTCAAAAATATCGAAAAAGTACTTCTACCACATTTTTTTCTAGGGACCAGTAAAGCGCAAGATTACCCATTCATTGACGAAAAGTCCGTTGACGGAAAGTCCATTGAACTTTTTCAAAATCCGAGCTCATATTCGTAATCAGCACATTTTTTTACCCTAGAAAAATCCATTTTCTGATTTTTAAAAATTTTTTTCGAAGAAACCCCAATTCTCCTGGATTGCCGAAATTTTATTTTCCTTGAATTAATCCAGTGTCCTTAAACACGTTTAAAAATGTGCCTTTGTTTTAATTTAAATTTTAAACAATTTTGGCGTTATGTTTTTTTGGCATATCGATTTTTCAAAATTGACAAAACAAATATTTTTGTCTTTTTCCATTTACATATTTTTTAATTTTTATTTTCGGTTTTTCTTTTAAAAAATATTTTTTCCCTTGCATATTAATAAATGTGCCTTTTAATCTTCTTTTTTGTCTATTAAATAAACTTTTGTTTAGGTCAACACGTTTTATTTTTTAAAGGAGACTTTCTCTTCCCTTTCTTCTTTTCTAAATCATTCACTTAAAAATTCACCGCTTTTTATACACTTTCTCTTTTTTAAAAAAAAATGTTGCGTATTTTGCCTAGTGAAATTTTGCAACAAAAATGGATTGCCTTCTAGTTCATAATTATTTATTAATTTCACTTTTTTGAGTTTTCTCAGGAAATTTTTTTCAAAAAATTTTCTCAAAAATCTTTTTAACCATACCAAAAAATTATTTTTATTTTTCAAAATTTTAAGGTTTTTAAATTTAAAAAATATTATTAAAAATAATGAATATTGATGGTGAAGGAATGCTTCTCTCTAATATTGCAATTTGTGTTGGTATTTCAAAAGATGGACGTTTTAAAGTAGCTCATCTGGTTTTGTTAGGTAGGGTTGCGCCTGAACGCTCGGGGAGGATCCCACATAACTGTTGACCTAACCGGGCTTTAATTAAAAAGGGGATCTTTTATAATACTGGAGCTTCCGGAGAATTTACGTCAATACCCTAGATGTAATTTTTTAAATTCTAGAACGACCACAGTGCATTCATACTTGTCCGTGGAACTTAGACGAACATTTTGAGACTGGCCGTTGGTGAGTAAAATAAACTTTCAAAACATGAGAATGTTTGTCAATGTTTAAATAAACTTTAACCGCAAACAAAACAAACAATGTTTTAATTGGTTTAAACAATTGTAAATAGACTGCTAAAACAAACATCTAAATAAACATGTTTTTAAACATTGACAAACACGTGAATTTAAAACATGTTTAATTCGATTAAAACATGAAGACAACAAAAACATGTTTTTAATAAACATGTTTTTAAACATTGACAAACATGTGAATTTTTAAACATGTTTTTGAACTTGTTTAAGTGAACTTGAATGTAAACATTAAAACAAAACATTCAAGTTGTATTATACTAAATAACCCTAATCGTTGAAACAAACATCTAAATAAACTTTAGTCTAAACAAAACATTTAAATAAACTTGAACAGAAAAACAAAGTTTAACTTTTAGGTATCGCCAAGTTCGTGTTAAGGATGAACATTCAGCAATAACTAAAACTTATTGGAAATTAATAGATGATGAATTTATTCCAACAATTTTAATTCGAGCTGGGGAAAGATTTACTTTGATTGAGGTGAATTTAAGGGATTTTGTTCACCCTTTAATTCTTTATTTTTTTAGGTATCATTGCCTATATTTTTTGCGCCAGACTTGTCGTTATTCTCATCGTTACAACATAAAAATTCTAAAGTTGCGTTAAAACCAATTTGTCCTTTGTTTGGACAAGAGAGTGTTCAGGTGGATATTTTGAAAAAAATTTTATTTTCTTAAAAAATTTTTAAAATTTTTTTCTTAGATTTTGGATTTGCCAGTTGACGGATTTTCTGAAAGAAACGGGCATGCGCCTGTACCCGGAATTTTGTATTGTGTTCGAGTTCAAATGTGAGACATTTATTTAGAAGCTCATTTCATTAATTATTTTTTAGTTCATTTACTCCCGGACTTATCCCGATATGGACATATAATGAAAATTATGTTGGGACACTTGATTCTTTCCATTGGACTTCAGCATTTATGGCGGAGGTAAATAAATCTAATGTTTTAACGAACATTAGCTTAAACTTGAAAAATAAAATAAATTCTAGCTTGAACTTGAGACTTAAAGTAAGAATACAAGTTCAATAAGTTTTATTTTTAGATTAAGCTTACAATAAGTTTTAAGCATGAACTTGCGAATACGATAGGTTTTACGTGCTTCAGAGTGTTGTTTAGAAAAAAGTTTTAAGCTTGCGCTTAAGAAACATTAAGTTTTATTTTTTTAAGATCAAGCTTGAAAATAAAAGTTTTAAGTTTGTGCTTTATTTTTTCTCCCTTTCAAGTTTAAAAAAAGTTTTAAGCTTGAGCTTAAGAAATATCAAGTTTTATTTTTCTAAGATCAAGCTTAGAAAATAAAATGTTTTAAGCTTGAGCTTAAAAATAAATAAACTTAAGTCTATGCTTAAAATAAACGGAAAAATTCCGTCATATCTCCCAGAAACCAATTCGGACAAACGATATGTCATTCGAAAGAGCTCGCCGAGCTGAGTCGAACGACACCAAAATTAGCTTCGGGACTCATATGGACCAAGTTATAGGTCCTTGAAACTCCGCTCCGCGCGTTTCAAGGACCTATAACTTTTGAAACTCCGCGCTTCGCGCGGAGTTTTGCGGCACGCGCCTCGCGGGGAGTCAACGGGCGATGGGTCTGGGCTCGTAACATAAACTTATGCCTATTTTAGCTGCGGTCGGCATGTCTGGCTTCCTCCCCAGAAACAAAAACCTGCACGTAGACCAAAGGTAAGGAGCTAAAACTAATACTCATAACTTTGTCAAGTCAAGTCGGATTTCGCTGATTTTGGTGTCATTCGACTCAGCTCGACGAGCTCTTTCGAATGAGGTATAATTTGCATATTCGAATTTTTTACCCCAAAAAAGTGCTTGGTCCCCCCTTTGGTTTTTCGATTTTCGGGGACCTATATCTCAGCCCACAGGTGAGTCCCGAAGCTAATTTTGGTGTCGTTCGACTCAGCTCGATGAGCTCTTTCGAATGACATATCGTTTGTCCGGATCTGTTTCTGGGAGATATGACGGAATTTTACCAAATAAACATTCTTTTTGTTTTCAGAATTCTATCAGTACAGACATTTTCAAATCTTATCGGGTAGACGGACTTGTTATAGAGAAAATTGTTCGAATGACAAGACAAAGAAAGATTTTGAATTATTACCTTATACTTCAAGAAAATGCTAAAGAGTTTCCTCCACGTTTGGCAATTGCTGTAGGACATGAGGCAGATAAATATGGAGGGGGGAAGTCTTTGGATGTTGGGGATTGGATTAGTTTTTTGCCTATGTGAGTGTTTTAGATTTTTAATTTAAAAAATTCTTTTTTAGAATGCTTGATTGTTATACCTATCCAGTTCTGTTTGCCTTACATTGCCCATCTTCCAATACAATTTCTAACAAAAAATTGAAATTGTTCAAGGAACCGGAGGGAGACGTGAGTATTCTCATATCGGAGGAGTTCAACTGGGTTCCTCAACTGAGTTCCGGCCCTATAACTCAAGTACGGGTTGATAATTTTCAATGTTTTTGGTACCATTAGATATAACAGATGGACTACAATATACCAAAATATCAAAATTTTCGGTTGTTTGGTAAAAAAGTTATGATTTGTAAACTAGCTTTTTCACAAAAAATCTGATTTTTCGGCACGTTATCGAGCATAACTTTTCTACCAACCGGACAACAATTTTGATTTTTTGGTATATTGTAGCCTATTTAATGCCCTATCCATTGGTACCAAAAGCAAAAAAAAGTGACCATCCCTTCATAAGTTATAGGGTCCGGGACTCAGTTGATTCAGGACCCAATTGAGGTGTACCGTTGTCAAATTGCTTAAAAAAATATTTTTTCTCAATTTTTAACAGTATAAATTGACCTTAAAAATTACCGAGGAATATTTAGCCTATATTCATGCAGCAGACAACACTAACAACAATAATTGCCGTTTGCCTGTGCTTGGGTTGCTCGTTGACCCTTTCAATTGTTCAAAAAACTTGTTGAATAAAGTAGTTTTTATGAGATGGGAAAATTTTTTTAAAAATTTTTCTTTTAGCTGGGGCATCTAGTCACGATAGAAATACGCCCTCAATGGCATATGGAAAAAGGAGTGGTTATCTGGACGGCTTTGAATAGTTGTGAAAATTCAAAAGTGCCGATTTTGGAAACGAAAAAATGTTTTAGAGATACTGCGTCAGTTGATAAGTTTGTATATTTAATTAGATTGCAAATTTAAAAAAAAATGCAAGTTAGTAGGGGAGGGAGCAACAATTGTCGTCCAGAGCCGCGTTGTTGTCTTTAGAGATGGGAAGTCTTAAACCATTGCCTGTTGGTGATCCAAGAAATCATGGGTTTTGGCATTGTGGTGACGCTGATGCTTATTTTCGGGTCTCTTTCCCACTTCCAGTCCCTTTCCCCAATGTTAAAGGCAACAGTACGTCTCGGTGTCAATAGTTGTTGTTAATGTTATTTTATTTTAGTGATTTAATAAATTTAAATTTTTTCAAGTTTTGCAATTAATAACAACGACAACTTTACCAACAATTTCTCACCTTTAACCGGGCCCAATAAATTATCGCTAGGATCAAAAAGGATTTTAGCAGCCTATTTTACTTACAAATGTTCAACTAATTGTTTTGTATTTTTTGAATTCTGCGAGATAACGAATACTTTTAGTAGTAGACATGATATTCCTTTACAGCCTAAGTAAACAAAATTTATTATATTATGTAAAAAAAAATTTTTTTTTATTTTTAGAGCAACTAGAAATATTACAATTGGTGATTGGTATTATATTGACTTTGAATGTATTTCAAATAAATCAGAACCAGTTAATGTCACCTCAATTAGGCCAACATCGCCGCGTATAGAAACGCGTGTTAGGCATAATATTTGTGCTCAAGTAAAAAAATTTTTTCTAAAAATTTTTGGTGACCGTTTAATTTTCGCCTGTGAAAATTTCCTCATTTGATCTTTAAAATTCCTCATTTGTGCCACCACAGACGAAAATTAACCGGTGAATTTTGCGTGATGGACCAAATACCTGGGTTTTCTTGTACCCAGGATCCAGGCCCAGGCATCTTTTGACCTTTCTGGGTTTTTCCTGGGCCTGGGTACTGGATACAGGCCCAGGATCCGGCCCAAGTCAGTAAATCAAACCTGGAACCCAGGAACAGGCCCAGGCTTTTCAAAAATCTCGATCTCTAGTTCACATTTAAACTTTAAAATTTCTGCTTGTTCTTTAATTTTTCATTCTCATTTAAAAAATTTTTAGTTTTGCGGAGGAGGGTTTGCAATAGTTAAATGTTGGCATTGTTCTGATCAATTTTGTGCTGGCAGTCAATTCTATTCGGATCCCGACAAAATTTGGTGGCCTGATCTTTGTGTCAAATGTTTTCCAAAGGAGGGAACAACAAATACTTCCCCATTAAATGAAGTAATTAAAATAACAACAAAACGTTCCTCCTTCCCACATCCTTCTAATAATAATAATAATTTTTCCAAGTCTGATACAAACTTGAAAAATTATTCACCAAAATCATCATTGTATCTCTCAGGAGATATGGTGAATTATATGAACAATTAAATAGGGCAACAAGTTTTAAGCTTAAACTAGAATTTAAAGCTTGAACTTAAAAATAACTTTTATAAACAAGTTTCTAAATCAAACAAGTTTTAAGCTTGAACTAGAAATTTAAGTTTTAACTTTAAAAAATTAGTGTAAACAAGTTTTAAGTTTAATCAAGTTTTAAGCTTGATCTTGAAAATAACTAGTATAAACGAGTTTTTAAATAAAACAAGATATAAACTTTAACTAGAAATTTAAGCTTGAACTTAAAAAACTAGTTTAAACAAGTTTCAAGTTTAAACAAGTTTAAAGCTTTAACTTAAAATTTAAGCTTGAAATTTAAGCTTGAACTTTAAAAAACTAGTATAAACAAGTTTTAAGTTTCAACAAGATTCAAGCTTGAACTTGAAAACAATGTTATAATTCTATTTAACTTTCAAGATTAGTCTTAACTTTTTTCCTTTTCTAATAATTTCAAATTTAGGGCAATACACACTTCCGTCCATATTCTCACTTAAGCAGCTCTTCATCACACAAAAGCAATTGTGGTAGTTCAACAATTTCATCCTTCTCAACAACACATTCTAAAAATACAAATATTAATTTTAATAAATCAAATGAATCAATTGTTAAAAATAGAAGATTTTCAATTAGAGAGCAGGAACGAAGAGAAAAATTGGAACAACGCGAAAGGCTTGATAAACTTGCAGAATTGCTAGAAAATAGAGAGAAAGCTAGTTATGAGGAATTTAAGGCATTAAGAAGTACAAAACCTCCAAAATGCAGTAGTAGCCGTAGCAGTATTTTTTCTAATGGATACCGTCAATCTCAACAAGAGAAGCAACATAATAAAAACTTTAATATTCAAACTAGTAGCCGAACAACATACACAGGTAATAATACAACTACTTATGGACAATTTATTCATCAACAAAACATTCCTCAAGAAAAACAACAAAACATTCATCAAAACATTTATTTAGATACACGACATAATAAACAAAACATTAACAAAAACATAGAAGATAATGTTTGTCAAAATGTTCGTCACAACATTCAACAAAACATTCAACAAAACACACGTCAAAACATTCACCAAAACATTACAAACAATGAACAAGAATATTTCCATCAAAACATTAAACTAAACAAACAACAACACATTAATAAAAACAAAGAAGAAAATGTTTTTAAAAACAAGCAACAAAATAAACAACCTAAACCAGTTAATAAATGTTTTAGTGTTCAAAAGAAATATATAGAAAATTCAACAACAACAAGTAGTAGTACTTTAAAAATAAATAATGTTGAAGTTGACGAACAAAACAACAACAATGATGTTTATTCAAGCAATAATAGTTTGTTGAATGAAACATTAGAAATTAGAACGAGTGAAAGTTCGGATGATAATAATGAACAACATAAGCAAAAACAACAACCATTTTTTGGTGATAATTTTAATCATCAAAAAGCAGAAATTGAGATATTAGATGAAAATTTAAGTGGGCCAAAAAAATTAAAAAATAATAATGAATTGGAAAAACTTTTTTTTGGTTGAGGGGTCTAATTTTAGCATATTTGGGGGTGGTTCAGGGTCTTTTATTTTTAACCGGGCGTTTCCTAGTCTTTTAAAACAGTTAAAGGGGGGTAGGTTTTAGGTAATTATTTAAATATTTTTGAATCATACGCATTTTTAAAAATATTGATAAGATCCTGAGCTATCCTCTAATTTAAGTAAAAATAAAAATTAATTATAAAAATTTGTTAAAATTCCGTCATATCACCCGGAAACCGATTCGGAAAAAATATGCCCTAAGGTTTTTCGATTTTCGGGGACTTATATCTCGGTTCATTTGTGAGTTCCGAAACTAATTTTGTTGTTGTTCGATTCATTTCGGTGAGCTCTTTCGAATGTCATATATTTTGTCCGAATCGGTTTCCGGCAGATATGACGGAATTTTACCTAAATTTTAATTGAAAATTTCTTTCTCTAATAAAAATAATTTCTTTTCTTTTTAAAAAAAGTTGCTGAAGAATTTTCTTCTTTAAAAGTTTCTGATACCCAAAATTCACCAAAACAACAAGTTATAGATGAAGGAGAGCCTGGAGGTTTTGGTTATAGTAGACGTCGTCGTTTTGCTTTTGAATTAAAAACAAATTTGGAACAACAACAAAAAATAAAAGAAGGCAATCCTTTCCAAAAATTTCAATTTTCTTCTAATAAAAATGTTGGGAAAGAAAATTTGCAAAAAATAAGAGGAAATAAAATTGAGGGGGAAAATAATGAAGATGATTATGTTATTGACGAGGCTTTAAATGCTGCATTGTCGGATGAGGAGAGAAATGAAGGAGGGGAAGAAGATAAATATAATGAGGAAGATGTATTTGAATATGATGAAGAGGGGGTAGAAGAAGTAGAAGAGGAGGAGGAAGAAGAAGAGTATGCTGATTATTCGAGTAATGTGTCGGGGTGAGGATTTCTATTCTAAATAAATGTGAGGAAGAAAGGGGATCCAGCTGGTTAGCATTCAAGTAAGCTGGAAAGAATTCGGGGGCATAGGACAGGGTGGCCCTTTAACCACCTTTACGTGGCATTTTCCCCCTTTTTTGACTTTTTCGCCCCCCTTTTCTCCTCTTTTCTACGTGCCACCCTTTTGCCCTCTTTGATCTTTTCTGAAAAAGGAAGAAATCTGTCTTCTGCCACCTTTTGGTGGTTTGGAAAGGGTCGCCCTGGCTTAGGATCTATTAAAAAAGTAGGCAAATCGGTAGAGTACATAAGCTATTGTGGTCGAAAGGCCTAGCGGCAACTGCCAGGATTACGCATGATCGAAGCCTGCCCAAGGCTAAGCTTTCACCTCTCCTTACTTAATTCATTAATTATTTAGCAAATTTTCGTTTAGAGACCGGACTTTAGGATTGATTTTCTCAATAATCGAGAATTTTAAATGCATCTAGGTCTTCCAATTTTTTAACTA